TTTTTGAAGTTTTTATTTTTTGTTAAAAACGATGACAATGTAAAAGATTATATGTTGTGCTAAAGTATAAATCGAAAATAAAAATATTGAATAGAATCATAACATAATCAATTTAAAAAAAATAAAGTGAAACTTTCTAAATTGAAACGTCAAAGTTATATTTTTAAATTTTAGAAAATAAAAAAAAAATAAAAATAAAATATTCAAATTCCAATTAAATTTGAATTTGAATTTTAATAAATTGAAATATTAAGAGCATCATTAAAATATTTTATTTTTATTCAAGTTAAAGAATACTTATTAATTTTAAAAATTTGAGACTTAAAATATAAATAAATAAAATAATTTAATATTTTTCAAGAAAACACTAATAAAATTTCACCAAATAATTCATATTAGAATAAGTAAAATTATAAAAATAAATATTAATATTTTAATATTTATACAGGGACATTACATTTTTATTTAAAAAAAAATACTTTTTTATTCCGCTTTCCGTCCCTTTGCTCTTTATATATAAATGTTGTCACCTCTTCTCACTCTTCATTCGTTTTCCTTGTCAAGAGAGTCACTCTCTTCTCTCACTCTTCATTCGTTTCCAATGTCACGAGTCTCTCTTGAGTCTCTGTTTCGAAGAGTTTCTGTTTCTTTGATAGCACTGCCACACGTTGGTTAGATGTGAAGACTCATCTTTTCATTTTCTTCTGCAATTCAGACTGCTTTTAAAAGTCTTTGTTTCGAAGAGTCTTTGTTATTTGTGAGTTTTTCTTTGATTGTTGTTCTTTTTGTGTGGTGCAGCAACCCGTGGATATGCTTTTCTTTGATTTTTGTTACTCGTCAGAGTTTCTGGGTTCTCTTCAGTTGCATCCTCTGTTCTCCGCTTCTTCAAGAACGGAATAACTACAGAAGTTGAAGAACACGCACAAATAAAAGTATAACCTCTCTTATGCAAGGTAAACACTTGTGTCTCTGGGACCCTTGTGGTCATTTTCTCCTTGCACTACCAAGGCTGCCATAGGAAAGTCAAGAAAACATTGTTCAACAATTCAATGCTGCACTCCTTCTTGATTGAAATTGAAAAGCTATTCGATGTTTCGATAGTTGTAATTGTTTTCTTTCCTCAAAACTCAAGAAAAGACGTTCTTGTTGAAATTCTTGAATGTGTATTTTATTTTTTTCTTTGTTCAGTTTCATTTTAACCACATTTAGAAATTACATTCTTTCTAACTTTTGTGTAATTGGTAAATCATATTTTGATTTTTTTCTTTATATTTTTATTATTTTGTTGTTGAAGTAGTTCCTCTTAGAAAAGTGGCTTTTATCTTCTGTGTTTTTTCCCATTATTTCAATCGGATGCAAGAATCCGAAAATCTATTTGTCATATGGAACAGACGTGGGAAGAAGCAGTGGCATTACAAGTCACCATCGTATAAGACTGCCTAAGGTTTTGCTCATTTGTCCTTGTCTGATTTAGGGTTGTCTCTATGTTTGTCCTTATTTGTGTATGTGTGCTTTATTTGTCACTTTGTTTTTGTGTCTGTTTGTGTCTTTATCTATCTGTGCTTGCATCTCTCTCACTCCCTCTGCGTGGGTGTTTCTGTGACTTTTGTGGGAGTTTGCTTGTGCGTGTGGTTTGTGGGAGTTTGCTGGTGCGTGTGGTCATGCCTCTATGTCTATAAATGCATTTGTGTTTATGTTTGTGGGTGCTACTATATAATTGAATTTCGAGAAAGGGATGTTTTGCTGTTATTAAATGTTAATGACCCTTAGCTGAATTAGAATGTTTGAGTCGATCCTTGATCAATTTTTACTTAGATGGTACGATATAGTTGCCCCTAAATTTGACTAACAAATGAATTTTTTAAGCATCGGAAAATGTGATGTTTTTGTCTAGTTGTTGTTTGTTCAAGAATGCCCCAACTTGTTGAACGAAAATTGGGTATATAAATTCTAGTTACCTGATTCAATTTGGGTGTCACTATGACATGTATTTTGAAAAAGAGATGTTATGCTATTTTTTAGCCTTATTGAACCTAAATGGAATCTTTATGTTATAGATGTCTTTGATTGACCTTGACCATGAAAAGTTCAAATTGTGGGGGCCACTATCATTGAAAACTTGATATCTTTTGTATTCTTGCACACAGTTTTTCTTTTTGATTATTTTTAAAGTATTGGAGTTATGCTCTATCTTTGCCTGTGTTTATGTATCACAATTAAATTTTTGGATTTGATGCTCACATTAAAGTTTCTGCTAAACATTTTGTGCATTTTGTGCTCTTATATCCTAATTGAATCTTTGCAAATGTGTACCTTTGTAAAGCAAGATGCAACTGGGAATGTAGTGATATATTTCAAGGTACCGATTAATATTTCTGCATAACATTGAACGAATTTCTCATTTGTTATGGCATCAGAGCTTGGGTTGTCTACTTGATGGTGTGGATGAAATACTATTTGTCTCGATGGGGTTGACATAGGAATAGGATTGAGTCCCTTATTGACCTTTTATAATTCTGGCTTCAAGGAGTGGTTTAATATCCTTTGGGTTCCCTCTTTGGTTTGTGGTTGTTTTTAAATTGAAAAAAATTGTACAATATTCCACGAATTCAAAGTGGTATGCTTTTATTTTAGATAACTAATATTTTTCAACATTATCATGCACTAATCTGTCATGTAGTTCATTGGTCTACACTGAGCTTGATTTCATGTATAATTATCAGTTGATTCTGTTCCAAGTTAGGATGGGTTTTTAAAATCGAGACCCTGTATATTTTTAAAAAGGGATTTAAATTATATTTAAGTTCTTTATAACTCACTTTAGACGAGTTCTACATTGAACAAGTGAATCAAATGGTATACCATGGTCCATTTCTTTTTGACGTGATCTTCACATGTTGCCCCTTGATGAGAGTAGGAAGATAAATAAAATGAAGAGCATAGATAAGAAAAACGAAAAAGGAGGTGTAGGTAGTGATGGTGAAAAGAAAATACCTTTGGATTTTAGTATATGTTTTATTTTTCTTTCTTTCTTTGTAATTTTGTGTATCTTCTTTCTATATTGAATTTGTTGCCTGGTTGTTTATGGGTTCCATATTTGTCTTGAGGTTGAAGCTTTGGTCCTGTGAATAAGGAGGATTTCAATTTTGAACATTTCAGTAATCCACTCAGAAAATCTTTCGAAGTTGAACTTTCATTATTAGAAAGGGTGTTTGTAGTCATATATTAAAGTGCCAAAAAGAATTTTGAAGACACATACTCTTGTTTTGAAGGGGTTTCTTTCTTTCTTCTAGTATCAGGTTTTGTGTTTGTTGCTGTAGTATTATTATAAATAGTAGTGAAATAGGTTACTTAAGTTGCATGCTTATCTTCATGTATGTCACATTTCTCGAAAAAAGAAACTAATATTATCGGACTAAAAAGTCAAGGAGTTGTTCAATGACATTATCACAATCCTTATTTTAGAATACAACTTTTTAACAAAATCATTATAAAATAACTGCTTTTTTTTTTAAATGCATATTGTATAATTAATGTTGGCTTTTTTTCTCTGTTTATAATTTGATATTAGGTAAACTAGATAAGACCAGGCATAAATGTTTTTTATTTTTAATTTTTAATTTAAGGAAGAGGCAAGCTTATTTATAATCTCACTCACTCCAATCTTATTTATATTTTTTTGGCTTTATTTTTCTGCCTCACTGAGTGCCTGTCTCCCCCTCTCACTTCTGTTCAAATTCGTTTGTTTGTTTTTTTTTTTTTTTTTCTTTTCTATGTAATCTGAAATTTCTTTATTTCTCCACACCCAATGCCTCTTATGCTTTATGTGTTTCTTTTCTTTTTTTTTGTCTCTTCAATTCAAGGACGATTGTGGAATGCTTTTGCTTCTCTGATTTTGAATTGAACTCGATTCTTTTTTCAATATCTCTCATTCTACTTTTCTTCTGTTTGGAGTGCATTGAGACTGGACTGCTTTGCTGTCCTTATTTCTATTTTTGATTCATCTGTCTATGTTCCGGTTCTTTCTTGAACTTGCATTTTCTTGTTTTCAAGACCGGGTATTTTTCTTTTTTTTTTTTTAATGTATTTTATAGGGATATTGATTGCATATAAGAAAAAAGATGATTGGTTATATGTGACATAGGTTAATATCAACCGGATCACTAATGTTTTGGGTGCATTTGTGTGCTCATTATTTCACTTTCAGGAGTGCTGTTTGGTGGTTAACCAGATTGACTCTGGAGCCCTCCCGGTACAAAAACGCAAAAGAAAACAATAAGTGGATAAAATGATTTTTAGAGATAAAAATGAAAAGAAGAATGATGGAAAGGATACAAATGTGTTGTATGAATAGTTCTTTTAATTCTCTTTGAATCGTGGATTTTTTACTTTCTTAGCATGATGTGTATTGCCTAAACAATGATCATGTTTATATAACATTTCAGGTGGTGGGACTTGGGTATGATTTTGCATCTCGACAAGAAGTACAATAAATGCAATTAAATATAAAATAACTTTTGATAAAATAACTTTTGATACCTCAAAGATTGGGTAATGTTAAGCTTTTGTTATTATTCTTTGTTAATTAGTGTGTTGATCATGATTTTATAGAATATGTAGTTATCGTATTTTTGTTAAATATAATTTTTTTAAAACATTAGCATTGGTTAAAATATTATTTCTTTTTTAAAATGAATTTATCTTTTTTGTTGATCAAGATGTTCTTGAAAAACACCTTTAATTTAAATTAAACAATAAAATATTGTATATTTTAATTTCACTTTTTCGAAAAGTTGTATGTGTTTTGATGATGTGCAATATATTCTATTTTTTATTTTCATATTTAGTTCCAATTGTTTCATATGCAAACCTTAAATAATTAGTTGAAGAATAATTTAATACATCTTACATTAAGTATTTTTTATTTAGTGATAAAATAAAAAGAAAAAAAAAATAACTATTTGTCGTTTTGTTTTTAATTAATTTTGTGAAGTTTATTTTAAAAAATGATAATATAAAAGATTATATATTGTACTAAATTATAAATAAAAAATGAGAATATTGAATAGAATATAACATAACCAATTTAACAAAACTAAGTGAAATCTTTTCAAAGTTATATTTTTAATATTTAGAGGATAAAAAATCAAAAATTAAAATGAAAGATTCAAATTCTAATTAAGTTTTTATTTTATTTTTAAAAATTAAAATATTAGGAACATCATAAAAATATTTTATTATTATCCATGTTAGTGAACATTTATTAATTTTAAAACATTTGAGAAACAAAATATAAATAAATAAATATTTTAATATTTAAAATAAAATTTATTAACAAATATCACCAAATAGTTCATTTAGAATAAATAAAATTATAAAAATATATTTTTTTAATATTTTAATGTCTATGCAAAGACATTACTTTTTTATTTTAAAAAATATTTCTTTATTCTGCATGGCATGTCTTATTTATATACATACATTTTCTCTCTTTCACGGAACGATTTCTCCACCTCGTCGCGTGACCGTTTCTTCTGTCTCTATATAAATGTTGCGTCATTCTATTTTCTTACCGTAAATGCAACTCCCTTCTCTCATTTCCACTGTCAAGAGTCACTCTCTTCTCTCACTCTTCATTCGTTTCCAGTGTCTGGAGTCTCTCTGTTTCTTAGATAGCACTGCCACACGCCAATGACTCATCTTCGGTTAGATGTCTAGACTCTTTTTTCTCTTTTCTTCTTTTTCTGCGATTCAGACTCTGCTTTTGATTCCCGTGTCTGTGTTCTGGTTCTTTCTTGAACTTGCGTGTTCTTGTTTTCAAGACCGGCTGGTTCTTTCTTGAACTTGCGTGTTCTTGTTTTCAAGATTGGGTATTTTTTTTTTTTTAATGTATTTAATAGGGATATTGATTGCATTTAAGAAAAAAGATGATGTGGTCATATGTGACATAGGTTAGTATCAACTCGATCACTAATGTTTTGTGTGCCTATTATTTCACTTTCAAGAGTGCTGTTTGGTGGTAAACTGGATTCACTCTTGAACCCTCTCCAATACCAAACAAAAAAAAAAAAAAAAGCAAAAGAAAACAAAAAGTGGATATAGGGTTTTTAGATGATAGATGTATAATTGAGGTTGATGTTGCTCTATGTCACATTTCTCGAAAACAGAAACTGATATTGTCGGACTGAAAAGTC